GACAATTCCCCCCCCCCCCCCCAACCGCCCAAAAAAGAAAAACAGAAGCTACCTAGAGAAAACCCATTTCCAGATTCAACTCATAATTGCAATCTGAATTGAGCATTCAACTTAGAACCGAGAAAGACGAAAGCTTTAACATGTGAAACACTAGAAGCCCTTTTGGGAAAGACGGGAAAAAAGAAGAGAAAAGTGATGACCTTTGGGAGCTAAAAGAAAATGCAGAGGTCTAAGGACTAAGGTTCAGGAGAGTTTGGTGTTGAGTTGAAAATTGAAGAGAGAAAAGGGGAAAAGAGGGGAGGAATGGTATTAAAAAGGAGTGGTTCAGTGTTTGGTCTTAACTCTTAAGCACACAGCAGAAAGACTAATTCACCTTTCTTTGTTTCTTTCTGTTTTTGTGTTCTCACTTTGCAGCAGCTTCGTCCAACTATGCCACAAAAATGACCGTTTCTTTCTTCTCTCGGTTAGACCTTCTACCAGCCTGCCAAAGACTCTCTCAAACCAATCACTCAATCATTATTTTTCATCTAAATAAATTAATGCACCACACACATTCATTTACCTTCAATTCTACAGGTCGTTTATGACTTTATCTGCGTTTTTATAAACTTTTCAATAAAATAGTATTTTTATTATATAGTATTAATTATATATATTAAAGATAATACTTAAGTATAAAGGTATTATTTAATTGATATTATGTTAAAATATGTATATTAAATATACTTTTTAAAATAAATATATTTATATTAAAAATCTAAAATATAATTATTAAAAACTTTAATACTTATATATATATATATATATTGATTGATGTATATATAAGTATATATATATAATTTTATAATTTTTATTTTATTTATTATTTTTATAATTTAATTTAAATTTAATTGTATATATTTTTTAAAATTAATAAAGTAAATGAATCACGATGAATAATTAAAAGTATATTTTTTATATAGATAATTAAATTAAAAATATATTTCTTTACAAGTAACAAAATTAAAAGTATATTTTAAAATCTCATAAAGATTATTCTTTAGTGATGTTAAGTTAAATATTCTAAATTAGTATAATAGGAAAATAATAGTATATTACTTATATTTTTAAGGAATACAAATATAATTTATTTACTAATTTAATATATAAATGGTAGATAGTATAATTCTTACACCTCTCATGAGATGTTACAAAGATTTATATTATGATATTAAATTAAATAAATTATATTATATATTTTAATGTAAGAGAAAAGATAGTTCAATATTTTTTTTTAAAAGAGAGTTGTAACGACTTATTTTGGTTGTTACACTGCAGAACAACATAACACATGTAACGACTCGGCTGATCACTACACACCATCCGACAACACGGTAAACACACAGACAAGAGCAAGTATATAATTATATACACGAGGTCCAATCTGAGCTAAACATCAAGGTATAAATATAGCCCAAAGTAGCCAGAATAATGGCCCAAAACAACTAAATAGCAACAAAATAAAACTCCTCTATCTGCCACCTGCAGACCTGCCACTATCACCAACCTAACCCTGCTCTGCTCCCATACAACGTATGATCATTGCAGTCCAAACACATGGAAACAACAAAGGGTAAGCTAGTAAAAAGAATCAACATACAAAGCATATATATAATATGAACAGTTACAGTTATTAGCACAACATGAGCATACATCTCATCAGCTATACAACATACACAACAATAAGCACACAATGCGTCGTCACGCATATCAGCTCAGCCTTACGGCCTACAACAGCTCAGCCTTACGGCCTACAACAATTTATATCAGCATTTCAACACAGTACAGCTTAACAGCATACAACACAACTCATCTTATCAGCACACAGCACATCACAACTTACAGCAATAACATCTAACACAGCTAAACATCATCAGACAACATTATATATTAGTTAGCACATCATATTCATCAATTTCGGTTTTTACTCAGCATAAAAAACATCTAACAGCATACAGTGAAATCTCATCTTCGCGCCTGGCGCACTCGTGGTTGCGCCCAGCGCGGTACAACCAGAGAGCACCAGGGGGCCAGCGCGCCCAGCGCCAGCACGCCCGCGCCCGGCGGGACCCATCCAGAGAGCTCAAGGCTCACACGCGCCTGGCGCAATACCAATTGCGCCCAGCGCATGCCAGGCAGAGACTCCAAGGAGTCTCACGCGCCCGGCGTGCCCAAACCCGCGCCCAGCGCGGGAAAGACAGAGACCTCCCAAGGTCTCGCGCCCAGCGCAATTCAAATTGCACCCAGCGCCCTCAAGGCAGAGACTCCCAAGGAGTCTCACGCCCAGCGCGACAAGGGTCGCGCTCAGCGCAGAACCAAAAATCCCAAATCATGCTACAACTGGTATCGCGCCCAGTGCGGTCCAAGTCACGCCCAGCGCGGGCCTGCCAGAGACCCACATCCTCAAACGCGCCCGGCGCACTCATCATTGCGCCTGGCGGGCTTGACCAAATGGAGTCCCCTGGTGGTCGCGCGCCTGGCGCGAAGAACGGCGCTCAGCGCGAAGCTCAGCAGCAACTTCACCAAGTTCAAAAATTTGCCCAAAACCTGCAAAAAATCCACTTTTCCAGCACATGCAATCCAACCAAAGTGCCACATTTTCATTAAATACCTCAAAAGTACCACCTTTTTACACATGCATCCACAAATCAAAGAAAACCAAAATTTTTCTCAAAACCCCAAGACCCCCAAAACAACTCCATTTTCACCAAATCAGCCAAGAACCATCAATCGTAAGCAACCAAATGAGTTCCTAGACCCATTTTCAGCCAAAACGCAGCAAGAAATCTAACTTCCCTTACCTTGGTTCAAGAATCCGAGCTCCGGGACAAAGAAGACGAAGAAGAAGATGGAAACAAGCTTGAATGGAGAAGAAGACAAGCTCAAGGAATCAGCACCCGGGGAAGGAAATCAACCTACTCACCACCCACACCTACAGCCACCAAGATCACCCGAAGGCCAAGAGAGAAATAAGATGAGCAAGAGTGAGTGAGCCTGTCGGGGAAAGGAAAAAGGAAAAGAAGAGGGGTCTCACAACACACTACTGAAATATATACTAAAATAGTATATAAGAATATTTACAATACAAGTTGCTAAGCAAGCAACAAAAAAAATCAATTATATACATCAAAATATACTACTGTAAGGTAACCTACAAAAGAAACATCCACTTCAGGCACCTCCTATTGTTTCTAGCAGCTATCTCTCAACCTATCCTTGCACTGCTCCCATACATCATATGATCATTGTAGTTCAAACCACATGGAAACATGCAAGGGGTAAGCTAGTGAAAATAAATAACTCATATAAATGAAATATACAACATAGGCAACTTAACATCACTGTCATCATCTTCATCAACTTGTTCAATATACAAAACATAATACTTAAACAACATATGAATATAAAAACAACCTGCAACACAACATCACTATCAACAGTAACAACTTATTCATCATGCAACACACAACACATAGATAACACACAACTTTATAACAACTTCACAACATATCAACTCAACACACATTCATTGTTACGCATTTCAACTCAGAGATCTCTTACAACACAAGGTGAGCAGTCTAAGTGGCTAGGTCCTACCGAATCAATAACATAGAATCTTTTTGGACTTGCTAGGTAAACAACAAATTTGAATAAAAATTCACAACATGATAACGATTTCTCAAACTTTGTCACTTAACCAAGGAAGTATAGTACTTTGTCAGGATAGGACAGTTGGGTTTAGGCCTACCATGGCATTAGCTAGCTCAACTAAGTCACCTATGGGATTAGCCTACTGACTATCCTCCAAATACTACAACCCTCTGATACTCGTTTATAAACTAAGTTATCGACTTCGTACTTTACTCGAATTGGCCGCTTGTAATTGGTATAGCTCAACCTGACTCCTATACCGTGATTTCTTCATACATGTGTGCCTCGACCCTACCCACACACAAGACCAACTAAGTCCTAGAGGAGAACAACACATCATCCACTCTAAGGGACAACTTCTCAAGGAGGGTTTTTCAACAAATTGGGCTCTTAGAGTACCACAACACTCTCAATCCACACAATGGGATGAGCAACTTCGAAAATATCTCCCCTAGTCCTAGTGATCAACAACTCATCATCATAGTACAACAACACAGTTATCATCTCATCAGCTCAACTATCAACTCATTTCAACTTTAAACAACACATTCATCATCTCATCAGCTCAATTATCAACTTTAAACAACACAGTCAACTCATAACTTACAACTCAACCATCACTAAGTAACATCTTTTCAATACAACTCTCATATAACAACTTAATAACATGGTTTACTGGCAACTTTTGGATCATCTCAACACATCTACACACTTCACATCATGTTTCTCACAACTCACAAAATTATCATCATACACTTCACAAATCTCAACTAGATCATCTCATCATATTTCACAACATATAAATAGTCAACACTCAACTTGTAAAAAACTTCCACAACATACCACATATTCAACACATTTTTATTTAGCACAATAACTCACTCAACGCATAACTCTTCAACTCATTTAGCACCTCTACACAACTACTCAACTTCACAACTTA